CTCACACTGATTTTCTTGTATCAGTTTCGTTACGTAGCCTGGCAGTCTTAAATTGCAAGTTCAGTTAACTATTATCATCGTATAACCCACTTCCTGCAAACAGTTCGGGGGAAACTGTACTTAAACTAGATCGTCGCATGTTTCGCCATTGTTTCCGGACCTTCTAAAAGGTTTCACTCACACGTGCTTTGATAGTAAGAGTCCTCGGACGGACAGCATTGTCAGCTGTCATTTCTTAGTTGTTTTATCTTCTTCTGTCAATGCAATTGCAGTCGTTGGAAGCCCTACTTCGACAGTCTTCTGGGCATGACATCGTTTGAAATTTCATGGCATCGAATTTGTCAATGACCAACACAAACTACACTGAAAGACATTTTGCAATTTTGTTATCTGCCTACACCCAATCCCGTCTAGGGGCAAGCATGCTCTGAGACTGAACATGAGCGTGAATGAGATACAATCACTGAAACGATCGCCTGACGTTTCGGATTCATGCTCGAACCCATCCTCATCAGATGTCCGAGATTGGGAATGGGCATCAACTCCCTAATGTTCAGGTGGTAGGAGCGCATTTGACATGACCCACAGATGTAGACCGAGTATATGAAATTCAAGCATCCAAAGATCTGGGAACCAATAAAAATTGATGCCTAAGTGGTGAACAACCTCTTGTTTCTTATACACTGGACAGGCATTTTTTTACAGACCTAGTATTCATCGTAGCCCTATTTCTCTGAGTATGAAAAATATAAAGGGAGACAACCTTGCAAACCCCAAAGTACAATAGCCCTTATGACCGCACGGCATCGCCAAAACCGAAGAGACCGAAGTCACGCTTTTAAATATGGCAGCGCGTACGTGATGAATGTTTGTGACTTTCTAGGATTAAATAAATCTGGTGCTCCGGTTCACTCTACATATGCGCAAAAAGATTTCTTTACCTGACTGTGAACAGATATGTGCCACCTGCCAAATGAGAGGACGCAAGTCAACGGAACGCGGAATATATGCACCAAAGTAGACCTCGAGGTGCTTACTCAAAGAAAAATATCCTATGAAAGAGACAACCCAACGGATTGTTTTGGAGTGCCATTTTACGTTTATCAGCATGCGGAATTATACTGTCATTTAATCTTCTAGCTTAAAGGCAAAGCAGTCGCCAGGCAAACATTATTCATTACTAGTATTTTCTGCATGCATTCCCGCGTCTATAAGCGCACGGCGCCACTTAATAAGACGGCTGCATGAACTTTAACGCATATCCCTATTTAAGAAACAATGTCTTCCTGAGAAACAAGTAGAAGGGAGGAGAACGTTATCGATCTAAATGGGTTTTACAAATCTCCAATAATTTGGGAAAAGGAATACACCCCTCGGTGGGTCTCATCTTCACCAGAGGAAACGCTGCAAATTTATGTTCCTGAAGCAATCCGATGCAGTTATCCGCGTTTGACTCAAGAATCCAGTGAGTAGACTGGTTATGTAATAATTAGCAGTAGCCTTCCGATCCTGCTTCGGTCGCTTTCAATCAGTTTTAACACCAGGCTCAGGTCTGTGGGCAGAAGATGGTGTGATAAATGCAGCCCAAGCCCACTGTCACTACTGACTACAGTGCGTGACCTATCTCATGAAATATTGGCTGAAATTCTGAAATGCGTTTTCGATTAGGAAGGATTACTTGGTCGTGGTTGTGATACTGATTATCATAAGACATACTCTTATAACATTTTGGACTCGACAGAATGTCGGCTTTTAAAAGCACTTCTTTTCAATCTCCTGTAGAAAGCGTGCTCGGTAAACAAATGACCACATAAGTAGCATGCATTTTTCTCATTGATTTTCGATAATCTTTGAAATTCAAATATATTTGATAGAAACCACAAACAAAAATGTGCTTTCTTTTAGTCAATCAGTAGAAAATCACGTCTTCTTTATATTTTATACTTAAGGAAGGAGTATAATTAGGTTTTAAAGAAGTTTTCTAATTGCCGAAGAGTTTGGAGCCTGATCATTCGTTGCATTAGCACTTAGTGATTATACTCTACAAGGTGCATGTGTTCCGCGTAAAGAAAATCCCATATTTTTCTATGTTATTAAATAAATATCATATAGGGTCCATAAAATTTTGCAATGGATGCGGACCATGTTGTACATTTCATGAGGAGAAGTGGTAAACGGCCAGGTACGATGCTATGTGAATGGACATATCGGGGTCTTAAAAAGTCTCGTAATAAGAAACTTTTTAAAACCTAATTATGCTAATTCCTTAAGTATAAAATATAAAGAAGACGTGATTTTCTACTGATTGACTAAAAGAAAGCACATTTTTGTTTGTGGTTTCTATCAAATATATTTGAATTTCAAAGACCATCGAAAATCAATGGGAAAAATGCATGCTACTTATGTTGTCATTTGTTTACTGAGCATGCTTTCTACAGGAGATTGAAAAGAAGTGCTTTTAAAAGCCGATATTCTTTCAAGTCCAAAATGCTATAAGAGTATGCCTTAAGATAATCAGTATCACAACCGCGACCAAGTAATCCTTCCTAATCGAAAACGCATTTCAGAATTCCAGCCAACATTTCATGAGATAAGTCACGCACTGTAATTCACTCGCAATCGACGGTCCCTGCGCCCAATCTCCTCTGTGGCACACGGCGGACACCTTGCGTAACGGCGGTTCTGTTGTCTGCTATTGTTTTTGTTTCGCAGACCTCATGAATGGTCACATAGTAGACCTCTACTGATTACCGTACCGGTTCAGAAAAGCTCACAATCGGAAACATTTGACTGCAAAAGCCACATGAATGTACAGCCCTAAAGAGGGTTCATCGAAAGCAGCCATATGCTCGCCAAACTATCTTTCGAATTCTTAAATGATCAAATTTGCATCCTTTTCTTAATTGACAGCGCTGTTTGTTTCACAAAAACAAAAAACCAAGGCTCTGAAACTTTATCGCCCTGTGGCGCATGTTTGTGCCATCGTTATTGAGGTGCACCGGATATCCCGCAGGTTTTCTGTATATAATAAGTTATTCCCCTTTGAAAGCAAGTTTTGGCAATTCTATCATGACTAGTATTGCAAGGGGTCATCCATTTGCTAGTTTGACTTGCAACGAAAAGAGTCAGCGACGCCTTCTTTAACCATGGATGAACACAACGACCTCTGCGACTGTCGACAGACCTTTGGCTGGGTCGCGCATTTGAATAAACTACATGATGCCTGGCATGTTAAGGCTGGTTCGATGTCTCTGCTCTCCGATGTTGAACTGCGTTCTCAACACTCCGAATTGGTAACGTTATGGATTAATTCTTCTTCTCAGGGTTGCAGAAAGGACCGCCGACTCAGTTTCGTGCTACTCTTAGGACCTATAGGATCAGTGAGGTGAATTTAATAGATTAATAGTTTTCCTTGACAGGACTTCGGAGCCAACTTTTTTTCATGGAAATTTGGCGTACAGCACTTTTCGATAAAAATACATGTCCAGGCGGTGATAATAAAGGTTCTTTAAGTTGTATGTAGGGGCATGAGGAAAGATTCAAGTGCAGTATGCGTGTTATCCAGTCTCTGGTCTACTCACAGACTGAAGGCGCTCTGAGGTGAAGGATTCAAGGAATTTTAAACACAAACCTTGATTATGAGGTCCTTACAATCCTTTCTATAGCTAACAGCGAGTTCTCCATTGTACTTACCTTTGACTTTCCCGATGGTGTATTTGCTATAATAAACGAACGGGATTTGAATCTCTTGTTGCTGGAAGCTACTGTGAGTAGACACTCCAAGTGGAACTAGATGGAAGCAGTATACGTAAAGGTTCAGGAGCATGACAAATAAAACAGGGGAATGCACGCCTTTTAAAGAATTATGTAACTTTCCAACAGCTCGAGCTTTTTCAATCCATAACTTAAAAGATTGACACATATGCATCAATTATAAGAAACAAAAATTCATCATTGATGGAATATTTGAAGTTTTGCAAAAAGAACACAAAATTACGTATTGCGATGTCGATATAAGAGGCAGTATTTTGACTACTTCTGCTCTAACCAAAACGGCTAACCCCTAAATTTCAAAATCTTGTCCGTTCTTGCACTTTAACACGGACACAGTATAACACCTTTACCACACTACTGGCCTTACAATCTTTTATTGATTTGCGTCAACGTATTTCTTTGGCCCATGGGTTGTACCGTGTTACGCAACATTGTGCGTATCTTGACAAATTACATTATTCACTCGATGTTCAAATTGTTGTTGAACAAAATGGCATCATTGGTCTGGAGAAAAACGTAGCTCGAAATTCCATTGTTTTCCTCCCTGACAATACTTTTGGCGCATATAACAGTTGCCCATTGTTTCTGGCATCCGGGTGACTAAGTTTGTGTGTACTCATTTGTGAAATATACTCTCAGCAACGTCTTGAATTCTGCCCTGCAAAGTATTTACTTTTATAAACTACTCTCCATGACGAAAGAAAAGTTTCTGTGCAATATCAGTTGATTTTCGCGTGTTTTCACCTGTTAAAATGTGCTTCGCAGGATATTTTGGCTACTTAATTTTCGGTCTTCTGTCTCATGATGCGGAACGTCATGTTAGACTATTAGTGGTAGGTGTCTGGTTGTTAATTTTGGTCCACCACAGTAATTCATGGCGCTCTACTGACTTGCAGGACGGGTATTTCACAGACTCACTACCGTCCCACCGGGTTCGTAACCGTATTTTCATATGTCCGCGCAGCTTACTATGGGGCAGATGCAAACAGTGTGGGGTAAATATAAAAAATAACTGGTTTAAACACAGGTTTAAATATTTGCAAAGGCAAAAATCACACGTTTAGTACTCGGCAAAACAGGAAATTAATGACAGGCTTTAATCGAATTTGCGCCCGAATAGGCAAATGAACCTCAGGCATCTGTTAAAGATGCGTTACTCCAACAAAACCACAAAATGCCTCGAATAGGTAGCATGATTCACCGGTTACATATGCATAGGAAACTGACTAAACAGTTCTTGTAGAGTGACCGCATCTTGCGGGCCTTTGGACATCAGCTTTGGTCAGTCGTTGACCACCCCACTTGGGTAGTCGGTTTTTTGAGCTTTGGGGGCTCTCCAGTTCATCTAGAAGGGTGGAAATATTTAATGCAGCCAGTGCATTGCAAGTATGCAAGGGCAATATGAATAAATATTTAAAGTAATGGGATTGAGTGATGATTTGAACAGAGCAAATTACACTCTTCTGCGTTCGCAAATTTAGCATTAACTAAGTGCGGCGACGTTTGTCCTAGTAGAAACATTTTTATCAATAGCCCTTGAATACCCACTTGTGGAGTCCGGATTTAACGGACGGTGCAAGGAAAAATGTAAGTATTCGTTAATCTTGTGAACTTGAACAATTAAGGTAGCAAGATTACTCAAAAATTTTATGCTGGTGATGCAATGTAAATCATCGTCAGTATTAGTTGAAAGAGGACAATAAAGGCAGCATGAGGTACTTATCGGAAGCGCAGCACATGTCGCTGTGGATAGTATTGGAAGTCCCCATTCATTTTCTTCATTTTTTATTTGGAATACGTGCGATTTTTTTAAATTTAGCCAAAAAGCGCGGATTTTACTTTTAATCCCCGCCAATAAGAATCAAATCTCCAGTCGACTTTAAACCCGAACTAAGTCGCGCTATGGTGTGTCCATTAGGTACGTCATAAAACCGTTTTGGGTAGTTCATATTTTGCAGCTACTGTATAGTAGCCATAGAAGGAAACATAGACTTAAGATAAAATAAAAAGAAATGTTGCCAAATGTTTGTACAAGTGTATTCAGTAGGAAAAAATAAATAAAATTTTTGATCCACAAAAAGCACATGAATCTTGTTTTCCTAGTTATCTCAGGGTACTTTAGGTTTATGCAGCTCGCTTTGTACTGTCGATTTAACAGTGAATCTTAAAATCGCCAAGATACTGAGAGGTCTATATTGTTAAAAACATTTAACGATGATGAGTCAGAAGGTTAAGGGAAACATTTTAAAATGAGTTTTCAAATGTGCGTACAATTTGGGTTTATTGCATGCCAGGACGTGAATGTTCACACAATATTTTTAGATATTCCAGCTTTACATCCACTTCATACAAACTTTAGGTTTTGACAATTATACTTTTTTCTGCGGACTTTATTATCTAAAGCCTGGTTAGATTTTAAAGAGGCATTTTAATGAGACACGCAACGGAAGGCCTAAACAAAACGGTAGTCAAAAATAGGCGATATTTCAAGAAGATTTCAATGAGAAAATCCTCTTACCGATTAGGCCCTCAGCCGGTTTGTGCCCCTAAAATAAGGTAAAATACTCCCTTAATCAATTTGATGCTAAAGTATGTACAAACCAGGTTATTTTTAAAATGTATTATATCCTAGAAAAATATGTTTTTCAACATATCCCTCAGTGTCTCTTGACTATAAATGCTTAGAAACGCAATAAAACATTGATGATTTCACCCGAGAACGGGAAATATTCTTTTTCATTATTTCTTGGTAAAAACTTTGTATAGATAAAATTTGAAATAGCACTCTAGCAAAGGATATGTAGAATATAGGATGAAAAGTCACTTTGTTTCGCGCAGCCAGCGATAGGACATGAAATCGGAACGTTTGCTTCCATACTAGCCGACGAAGAGTTGACTGTTGTTCATTCACAATCACAGAGATATTTGACAACCTAAAGATACCAACTTGATGATACTGAGTGAGGGACCAGCTTGACCTATAAGCCGTCGTCGACCGAACACATGCTAAACCCAAATCGAATTAGTAAGTGATTTGAATCTGCATCATGCCGTTAGTATGTGCAAAATTACACAATCTGACAAGTAGTAGTTGATTATTTCGACTAGAAATACTGACGTTCATTAAAATGCGAATCAATCCTTTTCCATGTTGTCGAGAAATTAATATCTGAGTTATGCAGATAATTATACTTTTAAGGACACTCTTGCAGTTGTTATTAGTTTAAAATGTCTCATGTTCATCATGCATGAATTGCCCTCCTCTTGCTGCTTGAAAACCCAGAGTGGGATTCGCTCGCCAAGGTCAATTCGTGTAAGTTTTGTGAGTCAGTGGCACAGCAGATGTGCTTTTTAGTTAATATTTCGAAATCCTAATTGGCACTCCGAAAGAATATGAAAAAGATTATATGAGACTCTTAAAGGTTTTCATGATGCAAATTTATTTGAACAGGTGGTTGAAATTATCTTCAATCATTTGTCGGCGAATTGGGAATTGACATTAGATTAGGTTCCCTTTGCACTGTTCCCCAAACCAAAGGAATCAGTCTGTTAAATATGAACGCATATTTGGGACATACTAAACCTGAAATAAAGGCTTGAAATTTGAGACATTTACCAGTAATTATTTCACGAGTTGCAATTTTGGTAAATATATAAAGTCATGTGCAATATACATATTGCAGTTACAAAAACCACTCGCACCATTGCTTTTTCTATCTCAAAAACCATAATTGCGTTACTATTCTGACAAAGAGCATAAAAATATAAGAAAACCCCGTATAATCTCCTGATCCAATGCTGAAAAAGACAAATTTGGATTTAATGGCACACGTCGGTGCCTTGATAATGAGACATGTCTGAATATTTTAGTAAAGTTCCCTGTAATGATGAGACGAATGTGGGAAAAATATTTAAGGAACATTTGCCACTTAAGAGAGAACGGTTATATTATGTGTTGACAGTTTTCCTAATAAAACCTACAGACAAAATCTGGACGCCGCTCAAGCGTGACACTTTCAACGGCTCTTGACACAAAATCTGATCTTCTTCCATTTCAGTACTATGGAACTATAACTGACAAATAAAGGCCTTTAGTATATTTTACGGGTTAATCCCACAATAATGTATTTGGCCGTAACTATCATGTAAAAATAAGCACAAACATTTTCATTTACGGTAGCTCTTGCGTTCGACATGATTTAAATTAAATCAATAAGCGCCTACCGTAAGGCTCTCCAGACACAGAAGGATATGATAGTGTTGCATTCGGGCTGCACCGATAGAGGCACGGCGCTCAGAGTCGATTTTGCCTTCTGACAAGTCAGTTTCCTCTGATCTGTTAGCCGAATCGTCATCAGCGCGGACATTGCACCCATTGAGAAGGGCTTTGAGTTCCGTGGCGGCTTGTCTCTTCTCCTCCAGAAATGAAGCATACCTTTCAGATTCACAGACTTTAAGTCTGGCAGCTTTCGAGAGCTGCAAAAGTTCAAAAAGCTCCCGGTTAAATACAAACACTTTCAGAAAATGCTTACCCTCTTATTTCAGCAAACTTATGGAAAATTTATTTGTATATTATCCGAGGAATTCCTTCAGCAGTTTTAAAAAACACACAGTGCAGAATGGACCGTTATGAATCCTATGCATTTCATATAGTTTCCAATGATAAGTTTGCAGTCCAAGTAACTTCCGCAAAATCCATATAAAATTATTTTGACGTTTTTTATTTATGTCTGGTTTTCTTTCTCAGTATGTTTAGCAATGTACTCCTTAGAATATTGGTTTCAATACAAAGGCGACACAAGTGGAACAAGCAATAATTTTTCAAAGCCAAACATAGCAAGAGCTCATTATATAAATATTTGTAAACATCCGGAAAATGCTCCGAAAAAATAATTTGAAGTTAAGTATCCAAAATCGGCGTATCTTATTACAGTTAATACAATTCTGGAATAAGTGCGAACGACCAGAATCCAGAGCTAATTAAAGACAAACAAACTTAATTTATGATATATTAGTGCTAAGTATTCATCTAACAGGCCTGTTTATTTATGGGCTTTCAGCCACGCTGGATGCGCAATTTGATCAGCCAGATGAGATAAACCATGAGCTGTCAGTTTTAGACGAGAGAAAATGAGGACTGCCTTATTAGCCTTTATGTCTTTTTATAGTATCCAAATCAACATATGTATATAGCTGACTGCCCTCTTTTCTCCTGGTGATTTAATGAATTTGTTTTCACCCCCTAAAAAACGTACCATTACTGAAAAGCCAAACTGGATTGACGTAGGAAGTAAACTACTGTACTATTGATATTGCACTTAATATACAGCTTACGTTGGTGCAATTGTTGACTGATTTTTGGCCTCTGTCCAATAGTTTACACATGAAAGGACCATTTTTCATTTAGCATTCTAGCTTTTAGGAAAAAGTAACGATTTTTACAAGTCTTAATAATATTATATTTTATGGACGTGCTTACTTGAATTAACGAAGCAATTTCTAGAAGTCTTCAATTCAGTGCATGACTAACTTGGCCTGATTTTCCTACATATATTTGTTGGTTTTTAGGCAACTGGTTGCCACAACGTTCTCGATTGTGTACATCGAACATCTTAGCAATGCTATGTTGTGTGATGACGAGAAACAATTTTCTCCCGACGGGACTCACATTTGCACAGTTTTTGTAACGTTGGCGATTCAAATTACTTAATTTACCGCTGTTGGAATAACGTTTTACTTTATTGTCCAAATGTTGGCAATAAAAATCTTATGGCCTTTAACGCGATGACAAATGAGTGAACTTCCATACCTGTTGAGCGTGATGTTTATCGGCCTTTTGACTCTGTTGATAAATGCGCGCGAAATTTGAAACGATAACGGGAACAGGAAGGGCTATAACCAGTACACCGGAAAGTGAGCAAATTCCTCCAAATATCTTGCCTATTGGCGTCGTTGGTACAATGTCGCCGTACCTGAAAGAAATATGGCGTAGATAATAGCTTTAGCGAGGTACCTTCCGATGCCTGTTATGGAGCATTTTATAGCGCTGACCGAAACGCAGCTGCAAATACAGCAAGTATGTACACTTTGGCATAATAAAAACATTTTACCAGTCTCGTATGGAGGTATTTGATTCACTCGTAGCTATCAAAACATAACGCCTTATCTTCACAGAAGTCGAAGTTTCGATATCTCAAAGCCGAAATTGTAAGGTTTATAACTGACATGTTAATGTTGTCCAGTTATTGAGCATAACCCAAAAGTCGAATCGATTAATATAAGTATATTTCATTGAAGTTTTGGCAGATTTTGAATAATTCATATTGACCCAACTGTGAAAAACTCGGCGCCTCGGAAATCCTGCTTGGGCAGTCAACTCACTGTATCAGATTTGGTGGATTCCAGACGTTGCAGTAGGTTGGGCGGGTAACTTGACCCAAACGTGATTAAACTCGCGTCGTCCGGCGGGGCCTGGTAGCTCAGGTGGTTAGAGCGTTGGCTGCGCTAAAGCCTTCCCCTTAATGCCTGGGTTCGAATCCCACCGAGGCGCCGAGTTTTTCACAGTTGGGTCAATATGAATTATTCAAAATCTGCCAAAACATCTATGAATTACGTAAGCCTGGTAGTCATCTGGTGGATTCTAGGTGAATTACTTAGGAAATCCTGCTTGGGCAGTCAACTCACTGTATCAGATTTGGTGGATTCCAGACGTTGCAGTAGGTTGGGCGGGTAACTTGACCCAAATGTGATTAAACTCGCGTCGTCCGGCGGGGCCTGGTAGCTCAGGTGGTTAGAGCGTTGGCTGCGCTAAAGCCTTCCCCTTACTGCGTGGGTTCGAATCCCACCGAGGCGCCGAGTTTTCCACAGTTGGGTCAATATAAATAAGTATATTTATCAAAATTCTACGAAAAACGCTCTTCCTATAAACGTATGCGTTCTCAGAGAATGTGTGCTTGCAAAATAAACAGCGTTTTAACCTCAACCAGCATTTTCGAGAGGCAACAATATTGGTTATTTTTACTTTGAAATCATTAGGCGTCTTCGGTCAGCACCAAATCCATTTTAGTGATTTCTTCATCTACTGCTGCTGCTGCTGACATTTAAAACATTCTCTTTTATGCAATTTAGAAGTTACGGTCGCTTTAAATTATGCATTAAAAGGCAAGATGACAGTGTTTACAAAATTATTTCAATTAACATTACTCTTTGAACTGTCCGCATGCCCTTTTACATAATCCAGTATACGCAGTTTTTCTGTCGTCGACGTTTGTGCACAACGAAAAAAAAACGAGTAGCCTCTTCATGACAAAAATATATATTTGTGTTGGAGGAATTTAAACATCAATCTCTTTGTGTTAAGTACAAAACGTTAAGACACAGGTTCCTTTGAAGGCCATGCATGGATCAATCAAACGTTCACAGCACTTGCGCACATTATCATTAGGCACCCTACATGTCGGGGACCTGTCATCAGAGATAACATTATGCCGACTGCATACCTTTGCAAATAGGCATGTTTTGCGTTCTTATATTATGGTCAAACTTGATGCGATGACTGCGAGACTGTAAGTATCAATTCTCTCGATGTTCCTGTTATATTACCAGTACTGATGAATGCTGCGATACCTATCCGTAACTAACTTCCAAAAAGCATAGATAGGTACTTCAGACGGGTAGCTGTTTCCGTAGCTGCGATAGCCATCGCATACAGGGACCAGATTAGGAACACAAAATGCCAGTCAAAACTTTCCCGACTGTTGCTGTATGGCATATCGTCCCAAACGCTGTCAGCCATTTACTCATACCGCTCCAAACGGAGGTTACATATACAAACAGGAGACAACCGTCAGACAGCAAATAACGATATCCGAATACGAACTGGGAGGTCGGAGAATGTGCACAGTACTTTCCTGGACCTGAGACAGCTGCGGTCAAAACAAATACATCGGAGGAACTGGGATATTTTTAAGGAGATTGAAGGCCAAGCACGCACCAGCGGAGGAAATAACGTGAACTCTTAAGTCATGGACTACCATCAATATCGACAAGACCGAAATTCTAGTGAAAAGCGACAGCCGCGCGAACCTTGTTATACAAAGTTCAAATGTTACCCTAATTGCATGACCGTTATTTTGTTCCAACTATTTAATCTTCTTATTTTCAACTGCTTCCTGAAACTTGCCATTTTTTCCTAAACTGTGGGGTTCGGTTTTGACATTATCGACTGATAAACAAAGAGTGCTTTCGTAATTTTTAGATTGTATGGTTAGCGTTTCAGGAATATTCACTGGTAAGAATACCAATAGACAAGTGACCTGTATGCTTTATTTAGGCTTGCGTCACTGTGAACATTCTCTGTAATTTTTAAAGCGGCCAAAAATAAACCCGTAGAAAATGCGGAAAAAAAACAAACAAATACCAAACAGAAACGAAGTTTGAGCCATGTGGCTTTTTGCTATTGATAACTTAAAAGCTACCTGCATGTAAATTAATATGCGTTAATTGTATGCGTTCCATCTGCTGATGTAGTTAACCAAATGTATGGGGGCTAAATGATCAAGTAAATCTATTTCTAGGCAATCGAGTGCCTACACATTCTTCATATTAATGTTGAATTTGTAGGACATATCGTTGAAACGCAAATCCAGAAGTGAAAGACCAAAACGTCATTGGTTTTTGATGGGTAATATGTATGTGATTGCAATGCACGCACGCTTTGTGAGCTATATATCAGCCAATTTCGGACATACAAGTCCTGGATTTCACCTAGAACTTAGACAACTATACAGAATTGAACTTCTTCATCAGTGGGTTCGGAAAAGTCATTAATTTGAAATATAAATACTAGGCCCGATAAATAAATTGAGAATTTCCAATAACTGCAAAAATGCCTACATAAATATCTGTTAACATAAAAGTTGCTTTTATCTTACATAATCACCCGATTTACACTAGAACAGGACTAAGAATAATATCATACAATTTCTTTGTAAAATATCGGGAAAAAATAAATCTAAGATTGCTTCCGTGTTAAAACTGTGACATTTGCATACATACTACCAGCAGAGATGTAAAAACACGGACGTTTGTGCAAAAAATAAACTTTGCAAGAAACCAGTATAACAGAGGAAAAGAACAAACGTGGAAGTGACGCAGTCAGCGTAGTAGAGTTTTGAATTTTGGCTTTAGAAATACGCGCACGGACGTAACACGAAGCACGGACTGTTTTTTACATAGTTCACCTGCTCATCCGCGCGTAAAGCCAAGTTTGTCAGAGCAGAGTTGTTGGAATGGTAAAACAAACTCTGTTATGGCGACAGCTTCGTGCGGACCGAAAACGTTTTTGGATTAAATTTCCTGACTCAGAATGGGTTGAATTAGTTCAGTCTTGAGCACTGTCTTCATGGACCTGGGCGATTCATGTTAACACTGAAGATCGGCACGTCTTATGTCGCATCTTTTGTTTGGTCGAACAATGCCTTGACTGACTCCTGAACAATCAACCTTGTCTTTAAAAAATCGTTATTCATCTTTCTAATGAATTTGCTTTTACGTTGACCCGGAAGGAAATACCGATAACAGTAAGTTGAAGCACCAGCAGAAGGTAGCTTTGTTTTAATCTACAGCCAGCCAAATATTAGCAAGCTTGGTTTTCAACTTAAGCCATAGGCGTTCTTTAAAAGCACACTCATGTATAGTTATTTCAATGCCAGCCTATTTGGATACAAATCCCTTTAAGCCAACTTATTAACGTCAGTTAATTTTAAGTGCAAGTTCATTATGCAAACCAGTTTTGCTATGTAAAGCTGTGTGGATTATAGGCTTCCCTAATCTGACGTCGTTGATCACATCTATTTCCTTTTAATCGTCTCCAGAACCACTGGCTAAACGTTTCGTTGGACAGACACAACAAAAGAAAACGTCCATGAGCGTTGAGCGTTTTATGTGGACCTTACAGATTTACTCAGGAACTTATTTTGCAGCCAAAATGGCGGCATATTTAACCAACAGGCAAACAGTCCCCGACGCGGTAACATCGCTGATGTTTGTTCTTACCGAAAAAAAATCAAGTTATCGCGCCTTCGCACCCTTTCATCCAAAATGTTGAATGAGTGGGGCAGCAGCTTTTCCTCTGCAATATGTTCGTTAGAGCATACTTAACGGCGGACTCTGGAGTAGGGTCGTGAGATCCTGTAAAATTTTCCATTGCATAAAATTCAACCCGTTGAAAATGAGTTATTTTGCTTAATGGTGCCCCTCAATTTGATTGAGAGGAACAGCGAAATTTCATAGAACAGAGCGTGTTAAGCTTGTGGCAAGTTTTCCCCTAACAGTTATCTATCATTTTTATGGTCGGATGCCATCCTTTCCGCGCTCATTGTGTGACCATAATAGGTATTCGAAAACATATGCCATGTAATACCGCAAATCAATTCTGCCCCAGAGGCTACTTTAAACATCGCTACAGACCCATGAGTTCCATTTGCACCCTACGTGTAGCCATGGCAAGCAAATATGCGGGTTAGTATATCTTTCGATGACTACCCAGGACAGTTAGCACCGGGCGGAGATTGAATTCAGGCATTTGCGGCAGCCAGTCATTCGTTCAACTGTGCGACTGATTGTCGCAAATAACCGCCCAGAGTATTCAGCTCTAGACTAATAACTTCGGTTAATGCATGTCATGTCCTTGTCTGGCCCCCGTGTTGGCTCAGCGCATTTCCCGCATGTCCCGTTGTGGGGCCATGTCAACAACATTTAGTGATTGATGACGAGTTTATCTAAGTCCGCACGTATAATAAAGCTTAACTCATTGTACGCCCCGCCTTGTGCAGCCACTTTCAGACCGGTAATTAATCGTATTTGCCCAAATGTCGCAGGTCGTCTAGGTCGATTCCCTGCTACTCATTGTTGTTCCTGAATGCAGGAGTGCAGATAGGTGTGAATATTAGCAATTGCGACTTTTGCAAGTTCATCCATTAGTCATGACTGTATCACAATTTGGTAGGGGGCGCTCACCGATCATTCATACGGAACTCAATCGTTCCATTGTTCCTTAAGGGCTCTCTCTCGAGTCCAAGAAGTAGCCGCACAGCGGCGCATGATATAGGCAGAATGGCATTACCTAAAAAGACACGGGAGACTAAAATGGCCATTTCTGGCTTATTAGCCGTCGTCAGCCAGTCATACCCAACCCCGAAGTGTGGAACACCCGAGGCTCGAACTCGCAACCTGTTTAGTAGAAGTCCGCGCCTCGAGCCTCGGGTGTCCCACACGTCGGGGTTGGGTATGACTGGCTGACGACGGTTAATAAGCCAGAAATGGCCATTTCAGTCTTCCTCGTCTTTGTCGGTGATGCCATTCTGTCTGTATCACGATCTCTCTATCAGTGAGGAGAATTAAAGGACATTAGTGTTGTTATTCCGTTAAGGGTTTCCGCCTCACATTTATTCCTATCGCGGTCAATTGTTTATCCAAATGTTAAATTACAGTGGTGATCTCCCTTATATTCCTGCCGATCATAGAATTAAGATGAAAACAAATAGTGTAAAAGGAGGGTGGAAATCCTATTTCTGCAAAATTAGCTCTCTGAAATATTTCTGGATGTTTGTTTTCCTATTTTTACCCTTCTCCGCACTTTTTTGAAATCTCTAAGGACGTCAAACACATCTCCCTAAAGCACGTTACCCCACAGTAATGCTAGAAAATTATATTTGCATGTAATTTTCACTGTGCGAAAAAACAGGAATGGGTTTTATTTTTGTTTGGATTTTTCTACATAAATGTTGGAAAGAATAAACGGCAAAACGCTTTTCGATTGACTTCGAGTAATTATGAGAATACATTATGACACATGCTAAAGCCTAGTGATTTTCATATTCGCCGGTCAATGAAGAGCGGTTTGACTCTTGTAACTGTACACAACGTAAAATGCTCGCCAAAACATCTATTGTCTTGAATTATGATCTCATTCAGCCTTGCATACCTCGTCGAAAAGCAAATCAGTTTGAATTGGAAACTCAGTTCGAGAACCTCTGGAATCAAACCTTCGATCTATTGCCCGCTTCCACAGACGGTATCCAACACTTTAAATCCACACTAGTGAATTGCAGCTATCAATACCTAAACAAAAGGCCAAAAAGTCGAGGATTGCTGACAGAAGCACACGCGGAAATATTAAAAGGACTTCAAGAGAACAAAGAGATCTTGTTAGCCTAGACCTGACAAAGGAACAGGCGTCGTCATAATGGACAGATCGGACTACGTAGCGAAGATACAGTCCATACTATCTGACCAGAAGAAATTCAGAAAGGCAGATGAAGAAAGAGATTGCAGGGATGACGCAGAGGCGAAATTGACTGACTGTTTAAGAAGGCTCCACACAGAAGTTCACATAAGTGACCATGATTTGAACACCTCCGGCCAGTCGGCACACATATTCCTCGATTATATGGTTTACCTACGATCCATAAGGAAGGCCCACCGGTTCGTCCGATGTAAGATATGCGGAACTCTCCGTATCATGCAATAGCTAAGTGGTTAGCAGAGAAATTTAAGCCCATACAACCACCTGACATCACGCAGCTATCGAGATACCTTTCAATTCATTGACGACATTAAAGACCTCTACCTTATCGGCATGATGATGTTCTCACTAGACGTCGCATCACTCTTTACAAACGTCCCGGTCACCGAGACAGTTGATGACATCTGTGATTTTCTATCTGCCAATCATCAAGAAATTGGAATACGGACGAAAACACTCAAGGAACTATTATTAAGATGCACATTAAATGTGCGGTTCCTTTTTGACAACCAACTCTATAGACCAATAGACGGCGTTGCCATGGGCTCGCCCCTTGGACGTCTCTTAGCCGACGTCTTCATGGGCAACCTGGAGAGATTTCTACTAAGCGATCAGATAAAAAAGCTTAAACATTATGGTCGCTACGTTGCGATTGCAACCACAGAAACCGACGTCGCCGCCCTCCTAAATGCTGCAAATCAGGCACATCCGTCGATCAAATTCACGTTGGAGATGGAATCGGCTGGTTCGCTTTCTTTCTTAGATGTCCTTCTAAACTGGAGATCTGATGGTAGCATCCGAAGGAGCGTCTATCGGAACAAAACCTGGTCTGAACAATACACAAACTTCGCTAGTTTCGTACCTCTCCAAGAAAAACGAAATCTAGTCAAGTGTTTGGCACAAAACCAACTTATTTTGTCGTGCTTTCCACCAGCTTACCTCCAAACACCCATATTATTCACAGATTTCCCAATGTTAGAGAACGGAAATATGGTCAGTATTTTAATTAAATTTGCGCGTCAAAAGAAATACCAAAGAAACCTGAACGATCATGCTAGAAATTGAGAATAAAACCGCACTTTTGGCAAAATATAACGTAAAGAATTACGGTCATCGATCACGTCTCAAACTTTATGAAAGTGGACGTACGTTTTAACTTGCACCATAAAAATAAACACAGTTGTCAATTTAAGTAGTCAAAACATATCTAAGCCAGGAGAGTTGGTACGTACAGCTAAGCGGACAGATAATCACGGTTAATAGACTTCTGTTACGACTATGGGCGACAAAAGGGTTGATTAGTTTTGTTGTATTATTGTAATGACGGTTGCAGAATATAAAGGTAGCCAAAGCACTTCACGAGTAGGTCTTCGGCTTCTCATTGCTCGCAATCACGGGACTTCCGGTTCAAATAGCTTACAGTCGAAACTGATATATACAGTGATATACTTATTAAAATGTTTATTGCTATCGCACGCGTTGCAGCAAGCATTTAGTTTTTAAATGCATTTTGTTTCTGTGTATTTCCAACGTTCTTGATATTTTTACTAACAGGAAGCTTTAAGAAAAGGAGCCTACGGCTAAGACTCCTGTCTATATTTGATGGGCTTTTGGGACATGCGAAAGTGAATAGAAAAGGTAGAATGCGAAAAGGCAGAAAAACTCAGTAACGTTTGCCTAAGGACTGCTGTGTGTTAAAAATCCCAAAACATTTTTATTGTTGAGTAAATAAAGTCAAACTTTGTCATGATCCGATATTTGACGCAAGCTGCGTGTTACTGAGTTACAGGTTGCATACAATCAGAAAATGCTGTTGGTGTAAGAGTTTACAAAAATAATCGTGCTTAAATGACTGTCAGTTTGGGACTGCATCAGTAGGTTTGATATAAACAGGCTCATCTTTGCATTGGTTAGCTGATTTAGTACTATTTTTTGCTGCAAGCGCGAAAACGGAATAGTCAGTAAACGACGATGATACTTTCCGCCTCTAGCGTGGGATTATTATTTACAAAAACTTTAAAATCAATTGAATTGCCCTTTGCACTTCTCACCTGAAAAGTACCTCTATATTTATTTTTGAACCGTTGGCTTCGATATCTCGTTAGTATACATGGGAATTTATTGCGTTCTGTCAGCGGCAGTTAACGACACACTGTAGGGCGATAAAATCACAATTATAGCTATCTTCATGGGCGAGTTATGAAACACATTCTAGGACAGTTGCCCAATAGGGAATACTTACTGGGATTCCATGGCGGAGAGTTCTTCATAAAAAATAAAACAACTATCTGTTGGATTAGAAGGGTTTCGCTTTGACAGAATCCCAATTTTTATCTTATTATGAAAAGTAAACTTGATCTCCAAATTTTATTCTTACCCATGCCTTTCTGGTATCATCTTAACTTTCTGTCATTATTTACGCTAGTATTTTTTATTTTCCAGATTGTATGACACGATTTTAGCCAGTGGCTAGAAATATCAGGCCACAACATTAAACCTCTGCATTTTTGACTGTTTTTTAAAAAAAAACGCTAAAAATTATTCTCGGCCAGTTTGCCTTCTGTTTTTGCCGCTCGAATGAGAACATGTACAGGCGGTGATCCCAAGATTTCTCATATGAATGAACCCTGGTTACACGTGCCAATAAGGCAAACTATCCCAAACGAGCTTGCCATCGAACTATTCAGACGGGAAAATCTAGTTATATTGGCTGGTCTTTATCACGGAATGGCAATTAAAGAGAGAAAGGATATTTTCTATCAGTAGTAGTTATTTAGGCTGAATGTGCAATATTGACCATTGTACAGCACAAGTTAAAATACTTTGGTCATGCCAGGGTTTTTAAATGAATGTAATTAGATCAGCCATAAAGCCAATGAGGAATATGGCATGTATTTTGGAAATCGTATGTAAGCCTGTAACCGCAAGTGGTGCTTAAGCTCTTCGGGAATGAAAAACGTTTCTTTAAAATCAAAAAACACACTTATAACAGTTCAAAAAGACAAATTCGCTACCAAAGGAACATGACACTTCTTATTTTTATGTACACTTCCTGTGAAATATAATTGAATTTATAGGGACATCTCATACTACATGAAAAGCCGTTTTAAGGGTGTGTATTTTGCAGACGGCAGGAAAGAGGCCTGTTAAAAGACCTTCATTTTGGCGTAACTTAAATACCTTGGGATTACGATGCACGGTGCGTGCTTTTACAACAATGGGTCGATTATAGTTCACAACGAAAGGCACTTTTCAAATCTTCGGTTAGCATTCTATGACAAAAGCTAGTTATCCCGTTGGATTCGCAGTTATTGTTCACGGCTGATCAGTGTCTGTCAATCTTTGGACATTTTAGAAATTTCCCTCAACTTTTTATCTTTCACTTCGATAAGATGAGGTCGCGTTAATGCATTATAGGCAGCTATTGTAGCAACTGCATTAATGAGACGGAATTAGCTCACACGTAGATGGCAGTGCGGCATAAGGCAAAATGCGGATGTTGACGACCCCTTCAAGCCAAAATGTAGACAATACGCCCTTTACGTTCTATCACATTGCGATGTAACAAACAGTGGGAGAGTATGTTTCAAGGGACAATTTCATTCCTCCTTAAATTGCCAAAAACCAACTAATCGTTTTTTAATTTGTTCTGAAAATACTGGTACTACGTGAGACCGGTCGGATTTGCTTTGAAAGTGTAACAATCTTGAAACATTTTTTTCATTACACGTTGCTATCAGCGGCCTCAAAAGTTAGAAACATATCTGGCTATCAGTACATTCAGGTGCAATCACGACGTTATTAGACAAATAACATTGCCACAAGTTGACTTACTTACATGTCAAGAACCGCAATCCGGTATAGGTTTAGGCGTCAGTTCAAAAGGGCCCTCTTTTTTCAAAATCACACAATTAAACGGTTCATGTTCATGGACTTATACTAACTACTATACACTGAGTACTGCGGTTGCGCCATCTTCGGGCCTGAGCTTAACAACATTTATTTTTTAGCCATTAATCAACTTCGAACAAAACTTTTGTTCTGCCAGCTTTTAAAAGCGACGCGATCTTATGCCTGCAGAACTATTAACTTTTCATTGTCCGAATTTTGAAACACACTTACGTGTTTTAAATAAAATCAAGCCTATCCTTTACGCTAGTTTGGACAGGTTTTGGCCGGAAAGTAAGATTGCGTATATGCTTTCATTTGTTAATTTTTTGAACAGCACCAATTAAGAGTTGCTCGCTTTCACCCGAGTAGAAAATGCGAACAGAATGAATTCGTTGGGTCTATTTCTGAATCCTCCTCAGTTTGTCCCGGGGTCTTTTATCTACAGCTAGATCATCAACTGGTACAGTTCATGATAGAAGGTGCTGTGTGAATTTCCTGAGGCTTGTTTGAACCAGCAACCGAGATGAGTGAATTATTTCTGTACGCAACTAATGAGAGGAAGTTCTGAAAACAGCAAAGAAGCTCTCCTTAGGTGAAACATAATCAGGCACTCCTGGCGCAGTTTTCATCAAAAACATCGGGCAAATGTGCTTTGAATTTTCTTATATACAAAACGCAGTGCAGGACTATTCCTAAGAAATTAAAACTGAATTTTGTCGTGTGTTTCCGATTGGGATGGATTATTTAGGTAGTGTTATATTTTTTATTACTGTGCAGCATAATTCCAAAATATTTCAGCCAGACTAGAATACCGGTTTCCGAATTCACTTCACATCTGTGAAAACCGTACTCAGTAAAAATAACTATCGAAATAGCATGAGTTTTCCGAGGAAGATGATGCGATCGCAAGACCAAAATGTTTGTTGTTCTGACGTTTGGGATTCTCATTCAAACCTATCATCATGAACGTTTTATTTTTGGTGCCCTTATAGATTTAAAAATATTTTATAGGAACTGTAGTCAAAAATATATTTTCATGCACGCTGCTGATAGGACATGTCTTCATCAGTCGAGCTTCTCAGCGGACAGCAATCTTCTGATTATAAAAATGATTTTCAGTTTCTGAATAATTTTATGTCCAATCAGCCGTTGACGAGGCGTCTATAGTTTATAGTCTACAAGTTGTTTATTTGTCCTATAAGGAAGCCTACACATCAATCAATTTTGTTTTTCGACGGTTTTGTTTTCTTAACGCGCACTATTGAAAAAATCTTTGTCTGCGTCAAGGTAAAGCCATATGCTGGTATTATAGTACTATTCCTCTCGAATAATGGAAGCTCGCGAAAGAGCAAGAGCTTATAAGGATAGCGTGCTAGTCTTCATTACTTACTGTTGCTAATGATAGCATTCGTTGGCAGGTTAAATGAGAAGAATTTTTACCTTGTACATTTTACCAAATCAGTCGGACCAAAAAGGTGCAAAACAAAGCGGATTAGTTGAAACAGCGTTACACCATTCATGATCACTAAAATCAAAATCCATTGCGTCACCCATCTTACCTATCTGTAAAAATGCTTTGTTTCGAAAAGTGGCTAGGAATACATTGATAAAGTAAGACGCCCAGTCATTCAAACTAAGAGCCTGCGAAAGGTCGGATAAGACTGAAAATATTCAGTTACATGAGAATAGTATTAACTGATCCAGTGTGATTACAAGATGTTATAGCCTGAAGCACCTCAGCAGAGTTACCTATGGCGGTTACGTGGACACGCAAAGTCCCTCTTTGATACGTTGGGCAGATAAAGTTAATGAAGATTTTAATTTCGATTTCAGGCCTATCTGACTCGACAGCGAGTCCTATCCCAACACTGCGCTGGAAAACCAGATGAATGTGCGAAGTTCCCGTTTCTCATTTAACTTTTATTCCGTCACTTGAGCAATGGGCTTGTAATTGGTCGGCCAGGATTAGCAGCATTAAAAGACGCTTGAAAGTACCACCTGCTGATCTTGGTTACTAACGAGAATATTGGGCTCCGTCTCGCAGGCAGTCTCGCTCTAAATTCCGGGGAATTTAAATTAGGGTCAGGGTCACTGCTGGAGTCAGAGTTAAGAGGACCATGATAAGGTCTACAATTGGGGTTGAAAGGGTTAGGGTTGTGACCATAGTTAAAGTTAAAACACGGGAAAAGGAACCCTGGAGGACTATGACGCGAGGATATCTGTAGCATTAGGGGTTCATATTCTCATGTACTAATCTGGTTTGGTCTAACCGCACTGTAAAGCACGAACGATGTGACTGCGAGCTATTCGTAACTATATACATACGAACGTGCGATCCTTGTAGGGACTCAAAAAATTATAGGCGCACTCGACGGTGTATACTGATGTACGCCAAATTACTGAGCCTAAAGTTGCAAATAGCGACAAAAGAAAGAAGCGGCCCAGTTGGAACTCATGGAAATTTCTATTCACCATCCAGTTTTTTTCAATTTCATGATGGATTAGGACCACTCAATCCCACCACTCAGACTTCGAACGGATCGTGCCATGGGGGCTTCTCCTTTTAGCTCGTATTAGAAAGTGATGATCAGTCGTTTGACTGACAGAATACGTGGATAGGCTGATTTTAATCCGAATGAATAACGTTATTTTGGACGACAATAAAGAACTCTGAACCCTATTCAAGCCTAAAAATTGGAGAAAGTGAAACGCCGTTAAAAAGCGCTAATTGCGGCTTTGTGTAGCTTTCTTTGAATGCTTTCTCTTCGTCTATCCGTCTCCGTTATCGTTTACCTTAGAACTTTGTCATTTGGAGGATGTTCCGTCAAATGCCGAAATCATTCTTGGATGAAAGGACTGCTTCCTATCTAAAGATCTAATACATCGACGAATGGCCTCTTGCTTTTGTTGACAATATTTTTGACCATCAACCGTGAGCGGTAAAAACAAGGTGCAATTTAGATATTTTTATTACAACAAGTTGGAAAACATGAGTTTCTATTCTGTCATTGAGATCCTTTCATATGTTACTCATGCGGTCATTCATGCGCATTTCTGACTTACACTGACATACACTGGCTGCAGTGACACAAACAGTTCACTTTCAAACATGGTAAACTGCCGAGAATTCAGCGCTGGTAAGTTTGAAAACTTGGACAGACTATGTATGCATTCTAATGCAGGATTGCATCTGAAGAATGAAATGGCACAAACGCGCCACTTTCTCACTTACACTTTTAAACCAAATGCCTGGTTTTCCACGGCATGTTTTTGCGAGGACATAAAAACTTGTGGCTTCCTGACAAAAATGTTTACGAACAATTCTGTAGGCTTTAAAACACCCTGCGGAGTGTTTATGCAGACAAAGTTTGCATAAAAGTCTAAGTTCCCAAAACGCCTTTGTTGAACATCTTTTATTAAATTAAAACACCGCAGTTTTTGAATAATCTAATTTTCTAAATTCGTCCCATCTAGTCATTAGTGAGTGTTATGAAGGAATGACATAACATCATTACTTCATAGCCAATTTCTTTTATCGAACAGCGGCTGAAGGATAAAAAACGCTGTTTTATGAAGCCACCCGTCGTGCTTGCTGAAGAGATAATGTGAGTCCAAAAACCCCTCTGTTCATGCAAATGAAAAACGAGTGCAACCGACGGTCGGAACTGCTTACCAATGCCTGGCGTTTGTTTTTCATTTAAAAGACAAGGAAAATGGACGCTCAGTACAGCCAGCTTGAAAGTATGACCTAATTATGATTGCTCCAGAAGAATTTCCACTCCAAACTCCGTTGATGGCAGCCCTCAATTTTATTAGCACACTCAACTCGCGTCGCGCATGACAACGCCAGAGCCGTTAACTCGTGAATAATTGAGGGGCTCTTGAAGTTTTTAAGCCAGATGCTGTTGCTGTAGGCGAAAGTAGCTGGATGGGAGGTGGTGGTGGTGGAGGAGGAGTAGGAGGAGGAGGAGGAGGAGGAGGAGGAGGAGGAGGAAGAGAGAATAAGGAAAGGGGTGTGACCGAACGTCAGCTGAATCTGCGCAGACGTGATTGTCCGTCGGAGTTGAAGTGCTTTTTCTTTCACTCATCATCCCTCTATTTCAACAAGCCTATCCATGAGGCCACTCTCTGCAATTTACCAAACAACGACGTATAACGTTCAGGTAGATTTTGATTCTGCTTTACCCATTACTTTGACGGCCATAGTTGTCAGGAGACGTGAAAAGTTGTGAACTGATGTCACTTTGCAACTATCGATGCCTTTAAGGTCTGACCCAGCATATATTAAAATTATCTTTTCAAAGTCAATTGTAAACACGGTCCGCAAGCTAAAGCGTAAAGATAAACGGGATTGTCATGTGAATAAACGCACTTATCTTCACCTTTTATCTGGTACTTTTATCGCGCATGTTCATTTTGGTTGCTTCTTATGGACAGGTGGGCACACTTTCCTAGAATGATCTGTCTTATTCTGCTACATGTTTTACATATTTTACCTAACTTTAAGGAAATATTTCAGCGTCTGTGATGTATGACTCCACTGCATTTACAGTCTCATCTCAGGCTTTGGTTTTCAACAGAGCAACCTGCATTGGGTGTAAATATGTCGGAACTATGAGCATTCCTCCGTTTTATGTGCCTTTGTACGACTGTTTAAAGTCCACTGTAGTGTGTTTTGAGAACAAACGCCTATACAACCATCACTGACATGTCATTAGCCTTTCTAATAATGCAAAGTCCTAACTCAAATAGTTTTACTATCGCTTCACGGAACGGAAAAAACGAGTACGTTTCCCAATACTAGTATATTTTCTTATTCATATGCAAATTGTATTGCTAGTCCTCAGATTCTTTGGAGAATGCGCGACAAGTAGAAGCACATTTTTTATTCCACAGATACGCTACGTAGGAAAGAAACTTATTTTTGTTCTCGGTGCTAAACAAAACTATTCCAAGACGATGGTAACGGTTTTGCGCTTTGCTGATGGTTACATTTTATTGTACCATGATACGCTGAGGTCAACCAAAAACGGACATAGAGATTCCCAAGGGAGTATAAATTATCCACGACGCCATCGGTATACCGTCGATTTGTGTTTCAACCGTCGAACCGGATGGCTAGCCTTCAGAAGAATTTTTAAGGGAAAAACAAAACTAGCGTATCGCCTTGACATACGAGGAGTTTTTTCGCGCGAGCTATGGAGGAACGTAAGACTAGCGTCGGCGTGAACTTCATCTAGACGTGCTTTCACTAGCTCAGTTATAGGCTCTAGTCAAAGTAAAGTTGTCTTTTTGGCGTAAGAAGAATTTTTTATATTCTATTCTAACGGCATCATCCCTTATGAGAAACTCAACCGAAAAGACATTTCTCCAATTAAAGTCTACTGTTTTCCGTAGGAATCCTCGATGTTGCAGCGAAACCAACGAGCACTGAAGGGTAAGAAATGGTCATTTTCAGCCGCATATACATGCGTGCCACTGAAACACACGGAGAAATGGACCCTTTTCCTTGCGTGGAAAGTATACAGCTTGTAATTTGAAAATCCTGAACGTAAGTAGAATGGCAGATCGGGTCCAAAATTATTCCAAAATTGTAAATGGCTTAAACCCTCGGAAAACCCTTTTATTGAGCACAGACTTAAAGACAGTCTACCCTACAGAAAATTTAGTGGGTGGAGTAGTTTTTGTGCGCACCTCCCATGCAATTTGTTTGGATTTTTAAAGGACCTAAAATCCCTGGAGAAAGGGCATGTTGTTTAAATAGTGGCTTTATCGATTGTGAATTTGGTACGTGACCGCACAATAGGGCTTTCAAATCCGACATGTTATTGGGACGAAAATAGTTTCAGATTATGGTGTGCAATAATCAGTGTTGTAAATTACACATGAGTGAGCATTTTAATTGAATACACATTTCAGACTTTTGGTTCCCATTTCATGAGGTAACTCGCTCAGTGGTAAAGTTCTTCGGTAAATATGTTTTAGATGAAAACTAAGATTGCAGAGTCTACTAAAATGTTACGTTTGTTAGTTACGCTAATTTTTGGAAACACTGAGACCACTGTACACAACCTAACAGTTTTATAATTTATTGCTAAAGTTAAAGCCGTCAGGTTGCTGATTTGTTCCCGTCTGTGTCACAAAAACTATTCAACGCAAATCCGTGCTGACGTCATTTCCACTTGGCTAAACCGACAAATGCCGCCGCTGCTACAATTATCCTGCTATCGTCTATCTTGTGGAAGTTTCTGCCCCATTTACTATGTTCCTTTGGGATTAACTGCTCTTATCCATGGCAAATGCAAGGAGGTTAAGTGGGTTTCTCGAAGTAATCCTACCCTGCTGACCGGAAGTGAGGACATGAAATTCAAGGGCAGTCTCTATTGCACACTGTTTTGGACGATTTTCTTCGCTGTTTTAAAACTTTCTTTCCTTCCAATCTTCAATTTTGTACTAAACCAAGTAATTGTCTGACACCTTGCTTATTCTAAACATCGTTGACCAGAAATTTATGATTGAACTCGAGAAACCTCAAATTGATCCTTACAAATACAAAAGGTTATTTAAATGGCACCACATTAAGTGCCGGCTCATTTCCACATACCTGAAGAAAACTCTGATGTTTGGTTTGCTGCGTAAATTATACTCTGAAGGCAAAGTCAAAGTCCTACGGATTTAGTTTTTGAACATTTGGTGTTTTATATCTCAGACAAAATTTAAAACAAGAATAACCTAAATTACTTCCTTTTGAGCGAATGGCGTCTTTCTCTGATTGTTTGGTTAAAGAGATAGTGTATTATTTTTCGTGATCTGCCTGTCATTGAAAAAAATTTAATGGGGCCCACTCGCTCTTCCCCGAATCCATTACCTACACTTTTATATATGCCATGCAAACTGGTGTGGATCAGCTGATATAGTGAATAACAAAAACATACGAAAAACGTGAATTTGCCATAAAAAATATGTATTGGAAAGCGACAGGGAGTGACAAAAAACGATAGATATTTTCGAAATATGGAATAACTAAAGAGGTTTAAAAATGTTTTCCGTACAAAGTAATTAAACAAGGTGCAGGCTGTTTGAATTATTCCCCGAACTGTCGTAAAAATTTTGCAAACATCATAAATTAAGTGCAATTGCACACCTCACTTAAACATCCGCTGGAATACAAATTCCGGCTTATGCAGACAGCTGGAAAGATGTCTTAAACACTAGTTTTAACCTGGTCAAGTGGGCTTTAGCTTCTCTTCCACTCCATTATTTGGCATGAACTCGCGTAACTGATCCCTTGTTGAAGTATTTGCGGATATTTTGCGTAGTCCTTTGTGGCATTTTGCGGCTGCTCAACATCTCCCATCCTTTATTTCATGAATGGTTTATAGCACTACTTTTCCTACCCACGACCACCTGTTAATTGATGATATATCCCAAGTCGTTGACAAAAAGTGGATTACTGTTCTGCCACCAGCGTTAAACAATATTTTCTGCAGTTTAAGCATTTTGAGCATTTTAAGATAATGCCATAATACACACCCATCGGAACAGATATTTTGACTGATTAAGTAATTTTTGTACCAACAAACGATGTCATGAAAGAGGAATTTAAGTAGAATTCGGTCCAAAACCTTTCCTTCCACCATTTGTGGTAGTAGTCTTATTTTAAGAAACTGATATTTGGTGCAAGTCATCGTTTACTGAGGACTGGCTTTTTGAATACATAGACATCAGGCAAATGTCGTATACGTTTATGCGAACGCGTCAACAGTTTTGAAATATATTTCTACCCAGTCAGTTATTTTGGTCGAGCAGCCGACCATAAAATGTGCAAGTTAAAGAATGCTATCTACTGTCCTTTTCGCACGATTTTCAAAGAGAAACTGCGACATATCTTCTGGCCCACTCATGATATGTTTCGGTTCTGTGCACAGCAGGCTTTGCTAATAAAAGCCAGTAGTAAGCTTTACGTCATAATAGGATATGCCAGTCCTTTTGAGCTCAGCCATATGGAAGTTAACCTGATGTGCAAGCGGTGGATTTTAGTCAAACAGGTATTCTGCATGTCTTGCGGAACGCCCACATGTTTTCGTCAACTTTTGATGCGTAATACCTCAAGGCAAATAGTCGGTTCTTATATTATTTTCAAAAATCAAATCACTCCCCTTAATTGTTATCCCCTTTAATGACAAATGCTTGGCGAATGCATAAAATCTGTGTTGAGATAAAATACTGATCCGATCTGTGATATAGACATTTTTCAAACAATGCAAAGGCTTTTATGTTTAAGACGTAATTGACAGGTGGCATTTAAATGCTCAAAACTGTAATTATACTTAAAAGCAAACCATGACTTCAACTTATCCTTCTATTATATTAAAATGCAAAACATGCTTTCTTGCTCAATCATGCAAAGCATTGTACGTCCTTTCAACAACGCAAAATAGACGAACTTTGGTCCCATAACCTTCATTTAAACAAAATAAAGATGCGAAACACAAAAGTTCTAACATGTTCTTTATCCACAGGAACATTGTAGAAATATCGAGTGGTTAAATGGAAGGCCATGAAGGAAATAATGTTGAAATATAAAACAGTCCTTTAGATTTTCAAGGTCATCGACGCTGTCAAAGCATTTAATGTGGGATTCCAGTTCCAGTCCTATATTTTAGTCTCCTAAAGATTTCCTTTTCGTTTTGACTGTCAGCTTATTCGCTTTCACCCAAAATTTCTATTTTACCACTATCTAACTAAAAGACGTCAACATTGCGCAGCTGAACTATTGCGTAAATAAATTTGGCAGGCATTCGAAGTATGAGCGACCTTGATGAGTCGCAGTCACATTATGTGCCTTTCGAACTTTCGACTCAATTTAGCAAAGACAGTAAGTGCCTTGGTATAATATTGCCAAGCTAAATGCTATCATTTTTATCTAGATCCAGTAATTTAGGCTGAAAAAGGAAATTCAAATATATGTTCTATGCAATTTGCAGAAGTGTAAAATCACTTTCCACCATGGAGCATGCTAAGGAACATTTTGCAACTCTTAATTTTCACCGAATTTTGACTTCACTTGCGTATGAAATAAAATGACCAGCAGGATTTCTTATAAATTAGGGCTTTAGTAATCAAGAAAACGTGTTTGCAGTATCTAGTAAAATGTTAGTCAGAATTCCGAAATATGAATTCAATTAGACAAACTTACATAGGTAGGGTTGTGCCATTAACCATGCAGAAAAATCCTCAGAAATTCCACTCGCGCGGAATGTTAGTTTTACCTTCTTACTACCCAAAAAATTAGAGTTGATAAATGGACACTTAAATTGTATGTATGCTTTCTTTGATTCTCGATACTCTTATAAATCCAAACCATTTCTTGGGAGTCATGCACAAAAGTATGATTTGTTGTGCTGAGTTTGTTAGTTTGGGTGTGCGTATAAAGCCGTGGTTCATTTCGAACTGAGTTGAAAGGTTCTAAATCTCCTTGCAAATCACATAGACCGGATGTTATATTCTTAAGGGCCTCTTTCACTTAATGTCAAAGTTGTACCTTGGAACTCTCCCAAGATTAGACGCTGTTAGCCGCATACAGATAGCCACCTATTTTTTTCAAATGGGTTGTCATTGTGTAGCGGACGTACATAAAATACGTGATTTGATATGACAACTGAAATCTTGAAAGAAACTGCTCAATGCACTCATAAGCGAGTTTTCACTTATCTTCTCTCCCGATCGTTTATAGGGGTACGCAAGTTTTCTTATGCATGTTAAGTTATAGAGTGAAATCACATATTCAAAGTGGTTGCGGTACTTTAACTTACTCAACTGTGATTTTATTGCAAATAATATCAAAATATCAGGTTTGCTGCGGAACTGAGCGTCCGAGATATTGATAATTCTGAGCGCTGGTTGCACATTACGGGATTCGCATGTAAATCGCTATTAATCGCGTTGCATCTGAACTTTGAAATAAAACTAAGCAATTTAGCACGTTTAAAGTAAACATTCTGATAAATGAAAGATCACAGTCTTACTTTATCTCACGAGGCACATACGTCATTCCGCCGTGTATTTTCCACTGACAGAATTTTGACCAGGTTCACTGGACGAGGTTTTTATACGATTAGTAGGGTGGCCACAGTCTTTCGCATTTGCATTGACTTCTTGGTTTATCTTTGTAACTGCAAATGTCGAACTTCTCATACTCTTTATTCCAACTACACAGCAGCTTATGTTTGATATCGACGGCGGTTTCGGCTGCAGATCGACATATTCATAGGCTTTAGTTGCCAAGGTAAACACACACCTGACGGATGTAATCATGAAGATCACAAAGATCGCAATAGTCATTGCTCCGTTATCCAAATGTCACAAGAAACAGACTAAGGTCCTGCATCGAAATGTGGCTAAACATTTTGTCACTATCTGACACTATTTGTTGCCACGTTAAATAATATCCGGGATATAAAAAGGTGCATGTGACTTGTCCGTATTTGGGCATGATTGATATTATTCCATTATAATATAATGAAACGTTTTTAGGAATGTCTTCGGCAATCTGATGTACTCATTTCTGTTTCTATTGTTTCATACTCCAAATGAGAGAAGTTAACGCAGCGAAAATTCATTAAAACCTAAACATTTTTTTAAAAAACCAAATCCAGTGAAACAATGGAAATTTGGTTGTTACTCTTAACATTGCGGGGTTTTGTAACCACTGCATAGTGTTACTCCAAATACATGCTGAAAGCACTATCTAAATAGTCCTTTAATGTGCTTCCCAGCGCTTAAGATGAAACAATTAGGTGGCATTTGCCATGCCCATAAATAAATCAGAAGAACAAATTAACTTAACAGTAAACCATGTTTGCGGGGAATCTTTCTAGTACTTTTCTTTCTTCCAATAAGACAGATAGGTCTACGGAAGTAAGGCATAACAGAAATGTTTTGTATGAACTGGTTTGTGTAAATTTTGCAAGAAAGGGTCGTTCTTAGTGAGGGTTTATCTCGGTAGAGGGCCGTTCACCGATCTTTTCTACCAGAACGTTTTACTGTGTTGTAACCAAGTATTTACACTGGTCGCTGTTGGTTAATAGCTGAATGCTTAATCCCAGGAGTAATGAGGGTTTTCACAATCACAGCGCCAAAAACGTTCGAGTAGACACTAGACTGGCTGGGAGTGAAGCTCACATTTAGATAGACATGTGGGATGTTCATCTTGTAGGACTCTATGTTAACAAATCAGGCCTAAAACTCGAAAGGTTCTATGAGCAGCCTTCAGGTCATTAGCCTTTCATCCTTCCGACTTTCTTAATGGGTACTAAAATCATGTATTTTGCCTAATATTACAAATTATCTACATAATAAATCCATATTTTTGAATTATAAGATGCTTTAAATTTTCTTATCATCAGTCTGCTTTGGCAGTTTTAGCTGCAGCGTTCAAGAATCCCAAGTGGCGTGAACTTTTGGACATATTTGTTCCTGGTTTTATTTTCAGGTTTTTAAGGACCTTGAATAAGAAACTGGGGGAAGGACAAATTTACGCCAATAGCACTCTACTGAATGACCAATTGTGTGAAATATAACAGACAATCTAAGTAGGCTCATTCCTTATTTGGCATGCTGTGTACGTTTAAATTACGTTTATTAGAAGAAACACCAAATCTTCACAGAACGCTGCTTCCTTATCATTTTGCAATGCCAGATATATTATTTCTCTTCGTAACTTACTCACCAACGGCCAAAATTCATTTATTCGATGTCAATGACTATACGTATCTGAATACATGGATGTTAAGGAGACTTTTGAGTAAATTTTGCTTGGGCACATTGTAGGTCAATTAAAGAGTTTCGCTGAAAACGGGTTCTAATTTCCTAACATATATTACGTGGCAAATGATAGACGTTAGGAAAATGTAAGCTATTTTCTGTGGTCAATTGAATCTGAGGTCTTATTTGTCTTATCCAGCAACTAGACTGATTTCCCAAGGCTTTATCGTACAAAATGCTTAAAAGTACACTACATGTGGACAAAAAGCACCAACAGGTTTATTTATTATGCTAGAAAATTTTAGTGACGTACTTGATTCTCAACCGAAACAAATCCCACACCATTTGCATGATCTATTTCCAAATCATAACGCGCGCGCGCTCCTTCTAAAGTATACACTATCCTCTTTGCCAGCCCGTCTAATTTAAAACCCTCTAGTTTTGCAAATGATTAGCAATTCATTCAGGAAGTCCACGGACCATACTGTCTTCGGATATGTTATTTTCTTTCAATCTTCTCATAACGTCACTATAGTGCATTAAACTCCATAAAAACAGATGTCGCTGCCTATTTTTGTTTTTCTGGCATAAAATGGTATGATTTAATAACACTTACCCCAAAGTTGTCATGGTAACGATGGTATACCAAGCTGCGGCAGGAATGCTCGTAAACTGCGAAGCCTCGGATTTCTCTGCATAGTACATGATTGTTGCAAATATAATAATGGCCATTGAAATGCTGAATAGTAAGAATCCAAGTTCCGAAGCACATGATTTGAGCGTATATCCAAGAATCCTCAGTCCTGCGCTATGTCTCGAAAATTTAAATATTCGAAACACGCGGAAAACACGAAGAGTAGTAAACGCACCGGACAAATTGGTGGACATGAATAAACCAATATAATATGGGAGGACGGCTGCAACGTCAATAATTGACATAACTGATTTCACAAATTTCCAGCGATTTGGAGCAGAGTATAGCCTTAAGAGGAACTCCAAGGTAAATATAATTACGCAAGCCGTATCCAGACAGAAAAAAGCACGTTCATACTGTATTCCACACGATACGGTTTGGCCAGTTTCTGGGGATACGGAACAGGCGACTGTTTCGACTATATTTGCAAGAACTGATAAAGCAATGAAAAATCCTGTGACGTAATATAACACCTGGGAAAATACAGTAGCTCTTGGATTTTCAAAATCATGCCAGAGCCTTTCCCTTATTGTTAGAAATTTTATGTCTTCCTTCTCCTCTTCCTTACCGAAAACATATTTTTCGCTGTCCTCCTTTTTCTTCTCAGTAAACTCCTCGTAGCAGCAAAATTCCAGTGTATCCGGGCGTATTCCAAAAAAATTGAGTTCATCTTCGTAGACAGATACGCATTCGTGTTTCGGGAAATGCAACCTGCCAGTTCTGTAGTAATTAAGTATATAGCGAAAAATTTGGGGGTCTCTGTCAAAAAAATACTCGTCCGAATTACAATCATAAAAATATTCTCTTTCGGATGAGCCGAGCAATGTCAGTGGATATCTGTCCAACGTGGACTGCCAGGTTTCAAATCGGGTTCCGCTGACATTTATGCAAGTCTTCTTTTCAATGTGTTTGTCATTTTTCTGGGTGCGTTTTATGTCTGGGAGTTCTCGTTTGGAGAGGGGAATCCAGCCGAAAGCGGATGCGCGAACTAAACCCAACCAACCATGCATTTTTCATTGCAGATTATGAACAATCCATGAACTATCGCGCCCATTTAAATTCGCGGGCACGACCTTGACAGTGACACTTTAGAGACGTAAAAGTAAGTTCTTCCATGTGCCCGTAATTTTATCAAAATTTATTGATATTTACCTAAATGTTTATCCATATTTTTATTTTTATTGATATTCGGTATTAATTTTAACTAAGTAACTGCAGGCAATAGCCCCTGGATAACATTCTCAAATAATTGATTACTTCCTTCCCAAATAATTCGGCTTTCCTTTTCACAGGTTTTTGTTGTTTGCATGCTTTGTTTTCGTATTAGCCTGGCACTTTTCGTTTTATCCGCTGCAGCCTGTCGGGTGTCCGAGCTCAAAGATACTGTTTCGATTCGTGTTACATGCACCTCCCTCTAGGATAGGCTCTTGGATCTAATTCCCCTATTTAACTTGAGCCACATAGGCACCTATCGCTAAGTTCCTGACTTGCATCGTGGACGTTTACCGGGTGCAAATGCCAAACATGAGTTCAAAGCTTTGCAGGCTCCAGTAAAAGGCATCGTACTTTTCAGAGCCGGAACTCTGTATAACGCTTCCTTGACCTGCGCCAGCATGCAATTTTTACGACTGAAAACGATGTGAAATAGTCTGATATTACGCGGTTGCATTCGAGCTAGTGAATGCTTTGATCGCCATATGGATGCATTCGTAATTCGTCAGTGTTCACTGTAAATATGTGAGATAGGTGGCGTCTTGCAGAGTATTATATAGGTCAGTATAGGTCGGTATATTTTAAGGGTAATAGGCAATGCCTTTGAAAACCCTTTTGTAAACGGTACACGCAATGTCTTACTTTAACTAGACATGGTTCTAAAGTGTTGTCAGTAATATATACAGTAAACAGAATATTTTACATTGAAAATGCAGGACTGAAACTCAAGAACATCCACTTGTAGATAATATCGGTAAAATGAAATGACAGTCATCCGCATTAGCGGTAAAAACATACTGAACTGAACTCAAAGTTGTAGAAGGCCCACTTGATAGCGTCCGAGCGATCCAAGGTTTTTTGGAAACTTGATGCAGCGAGACGACAGTTTCAGTATTCATACATTAGGGTCTTAAAGGTCGTTAAATTACTCGAACTGGTGACCTCCATGAAGTAGGAATATTCACACCCCATCGCAATCCTGTTGCTTGATCGTAATTTATTAACTTCGTATCGAAACTGAGAAAACGTCAGAGCGAGGGCGAAGTGAATCTGAAAATAGCAAAGAACCAAATTGTAGAAATAGAGCGTTCCTTCTTCTGGAATCATCCGGTGACATCGACGGTAAAACCACCGTCGCTCGGTTCCGACAAACTTCGGTAAATTCAAAATCTTCTAGTGGACTTGGTACGCCACGTGGAATATGCAGTAATAACTGTCAGTCAAGAACACCAGCAAACAATTTGCAGAGATCTAAACAGCCGAATAATATAAAAATGATGCACACAAATGTGCAGAGTTTATTAAACAAATTAGATGAAATAAAACTCACCGTGGCCCATTTCCAACCCGACTTGATAGCTGACGCTGTTAGCACCAGTGTCCGCTGTCTATTACACCAACTGTTAGAGTTTCCTCAACAAGCTAGATGAACTTAGATTACTAGTCTCTGGATAGAAACCTCATATAATTGTCCTAACAGAGACATGGTCGACTGAGGAAATAAGTAGTAGCGAAGTCAGTATTGAAGACCACCAACTGTTCCGTGGTGGCAGATTTCAACGCAGAGGAGGAAGCACAGCGATTTATGCGTCTAATGAAATTCCGTGCTGTTAGCGAGAAATATCCGATGGGACGCCGCGAAATTTTGAAATAGTTTCATGCAAGATATGTATCAAACAATTACCGACACTGAACCTGTGTGTTGTTTATCGGCCTCCCAGCTCGAATGAAATTTCTGATATGGAATTACTTACTGCACTGGAATTGTTATGTAAGCAGGCGAACTTACTAACTCTGGGTGTAGACTGAAAAATCCCCTTAAAAAAAACGTCCCGTCCACGTCATTTGACCACAAGTTACTACAACTCTCCCTGAATGAATACTTCATTCAACACATAAAATTTGGAACAAAACTGAGAGAAGGACAACGATTTAACTGTTTAGATCTCGTCTTCTGTAAAGAAGAAGGAGTCATAAGAAAAGTGAATCCGCAACCTCCACTCGGTTTAAGCGATCATATTGCTTTTAGCTGCGTGTGCTCTCTCCTATCGGACTAACAAGCAAAAATCAAGAGGCTCGGAAGTATCTAGAATGGTGAATTTAAGGCAATGAGACATACTCTTTTGAAGGAAACCGGGTTAGTCAACATGGAAGATTCAGAAGAATTCTGGCAGTACTTCTGCGGGATTATAGAGCATCTAATTGACTCCCATTGTCCGATTAAAATGACAAGACCATGTGCTCAACCGCCGTGGGTCAATCCGACGGCAAAACAGACCAGGAAGAAGAAACGGAGACTGTGGGAAAAGCATTTGTAACTTCAAGATCCAAGGTCGCTCGCCGAATATAAGGATCAGCCCAATAAATGCCGCAAACAAATAAGGGTTTCTAGAACTTCTTTCGAGCGCCGGCTGATTGCAGAATCCATTACATGTCCCAAGATGTTTGACGGGTACATCCACAGTAGGAGGAAACATAGGGACGAAATTGCTTGTCTAGAGGAAAGCCTCAGAAACTTATTAGTTGAAGGGCCACAGAAAGTGCAATTCCTGTCTCAGTTTTTTCAACCGGCTTTTACAGGGTAGTCCTCAGAAGACAATTAGCAGTTTGAAATGGAACGAGAGCTTCAAATGAGCCGAGATAATGCCGTCATTGAAATAGTTACCTTTCTGTCGAAGAAGTAAGACGCGTTCTCAGTCAAATCAAACCTGATAAGTCTCCTGGACCCGACAGAATTCCCGGGTGATAATAAAGGTGCTATCAACGGAACTGCCAAAGCCTCTTTCGACTCTCTTTGAGCTGCCAGTGAGAAGAGGAAGGCTGCCCTCACAGTGGAAGGCAGCTAACCTCGTTCATCTACATAATGGAGATAGCAGGATGACAGCAAGCAGCTTCACGCCTATTATCTTAACTTGCCTCCTTGCTCTCGTAAAGAGCGCTATGCAGCAGTTTTGTGAGGAGGATAACATCTTGCAGGATTTTCAACATGGCTTCCGGAGGGGACGTTCCTGCCTCTCAAATCTGCTAGCTTGTCTGGAGATCTGGACCAGGGCTCAAGAAGAGGGTTTTGAGGTCGATGTCTTGTACATCGGTTTCCGCAAAACTTTCGATAATGAGCAAAAGAAGAAGCGATTGCTGGAACAAGAGCTTGATTCACTTGACGTTTCGGATTCGGAATCACTTGATGATGGATTCAAGTGAGAATCCAAAACGTCAGGCGAATAAAGCTCTTGTTCCAGCGATCGCTTTTTCTTCCGATCAACTAGTTCCTTGAACTCACATCTTCGCCTGTATCGGCTTTCGATACTGTTCCGCACCAATGCCTTCTTCATAAATTGAGCGCCATCGGCATCCGGGGATCTTCTGAACTGGATTAGGGCGGTTTTAATTGGTCGGAAACAACGTGTCTGTATCGAAGATGATATGTCAGAATGGGTGAACGTGACCAGTGGTGTGCCACAAGGCTCAGTGCTGGGACCATTGCTCTTCATCCTTTATTTTAATGACAGCCTTCAGGAAGTCGACTGCGGCAAAATAATGTTTGCAGACGACGTTAAGCTCCAGCAAGTAATTAAGGGTCCGAATGATCAGAGATCCCTTCAAGATAACCAGCACTAACTACAATCGTGGTCGGAGAAATGGCTTCCGGATTTCAATGTGTAGAAGTGCGCCGTCCTTCATCTGCGTCCAACCAACTCTCATTCAAATGAGAGCCTGAGGACATATCACCGGAAAGATATAAGGCCCCCGCAGAATCTTCACAAAAGGATCTCGGGGTTTGGATAGAGAACAACCTAAA